ATGGGAAGTGTATTATAGTGTAGAGAAGCCAAACATGATATATTCCCAACATTAAAAGTCCTATAGGGACTAGTACATAATCTAAATCATGCACTTCCATTCCTTAACTCAATCACAATGCTTCAAACTTCACACTTTACCCTTTCACCTTAAAATACTTAAACTCCAATTATTGTTGTTGTGTCAGATACACGTATACTTCACCATACCCACCTTTCACATTCTTGGAGTTAGCTTCCACTTATACTACCACTCAATCACAAAAACTTCCCTTTTTTGGTTCTAAAAGTGTGTGTGCACATACAACTGAAGAGGGTCTAGTTTGTCCCTTCAACATGTATAGTTGTTTGCAATTGATGCATTACTACTTGTATAATCAAATGTTAATAAATAAATAATTACTAATTTTATATAAAAGCTGAGAAAACTTCACTTTTTGTTTAAAGTGTCACCTCATATACTAACAATGAGTTGGTCTAGTGGCGCAAGACTCTGTTAGATCCCAGAAAGAAATGTCTAAAGTTCGATTTCTAAAAGCGACACTTACTAGTGGAATAGTCACACACCTCGAAAGGGATACACTTTGTAGTATAAAAAAGTGTCACCTTATAAAATATTCTGTTAGGAGCCTCTGCACTCTTTTGCTCAATCTACATTTTACACCATTAAACGTTTCCATTTGCCTTTTAGTTGATGTTTCTTTTGCTTAATTTATTTTCTGGCTAAGTTAGTGGCTTCACTTTCATGTTTTAGGTAGGGTACAACACTACAACATAGAGTATCTCAAATAAATGAGCATCAATGTCAAAACAAATATATAAACCAAGGTTACATTTAGGGAATGTGAAAACAAATATATGAACCTTTGAATTACATCAATATTTTTTTCCATAAGCTATATACAAATTTCAGATATAACTGCATTGAATGTAAATGGAGAACGTGAATAAAAAAATGGGATGCACCGACACTTAACAGAATCATATAATAATGTAGCTGATGTTTTGGGATGATCTTTTTTGTGCCCCATTTACACCACATTATTATTCCAATACCAGAATCAATTTAATTTCTTTAACAGTGTGGGTCACTAATAAGAACTGATCCTTAAGCACAAGTTTGATGTAAAATTAAAAGCATGAAATGATGTTGCAGAAGTCAAGAATCATTTTCATATATAATATGACAATTTACAACTAGCATCAGAGGGAAATGGACATCAAATGTATGATTCATCCAACTATACACTTTTAACTTTCAATAGGTTGACATAAATTGACATTCAAACCTAAAGGTTAATGGAATTGTTTCAATTACACCAATTTGCTCTACAGATTTGTGGAATGTGCACCCAGTTGTTAATCTGATTGCACAACTAATTAGGTTTATATTAAAATGTTAAATTGATATGGGTAATAAAAATGGAAGGTAAAATGAAGCAACCAAGGGTTTATTTTTTATTGTTCTATAATTGTGGAGAAGATTCATATATTCCTTTCATTAATTTTCTTATGGAGTACAAATTTCAGAAGTCTTTGAGAGGATGATAGGCAAATAATGTAGGTTCCAAATACCATATTTTTCAAGCAATGGACATCACTAACATCATAATTGACACATTCCCTAATCCTAGATCCATCTAGAATTTCCAATACCATCAAGTCAATTGGTTGACATCATTTCTTATACTAAACTGTCAAATACAAGAATATCATACTCAGATTAATTTGATGATTTAAAAGAATTAATTAAAATTAAGTTAAAATCTAAACATTAAAAAGTTTAAATGTCATATATCATCGGTATGGGACCCTCCTGAGAGGATCCAGATTAAAATTATCCCATAGTGGTCCAAATTGTACACTTCTTCAATAACCAATCAAAATTGATAGTAATTAACACAACAACTTCGGTCACATTCTTCAAAATGTTCTCATACTCAAATACCACAACTTGTTTAATTGAAGTTTTGCAAATATTATGGATCAATTATTAATATGAATAGTTCTACTTTGACTTTTTTGGAAGGTTTCTTTCACTTGAAATGTGATAAGGGTGTGGAACAGTTCTTTGCGCTGATGACGCAGAGCACATGGGACAGCAAACATATCACAAAACTAATGAACCAAAAAAGTCAAATTATTCAGCAATAATTACACTATAATTACCTGAAATATTCAAATATAGGTTCAGCTACATTATTTCTAAACTTATACATGTGTAACGAATTAAAACATGGACAAAATTAATTAAAAATCGGAAGAAAAAAAAACAATGGTAAAAGGTCATGGTGATTACAAGTCACAAGTTTCTACCGACTCCAACCAAACAAATCTTCATCATTTCAATATCAAAGGTATTCGGGCAGCCCAAAAGTCCAAAAAACGCGTTCACCAAACCTGCCCTATTGCCTCCGCACCTGCCCGCTGAGCTGTATTCCCATTTCCATCCTCAACCAAAAGAACCAATAGATTATAAAATACGACATAGATCATATGTCCCAAATGACGTAGGGTCAATTACATATTGTTATATGAATAAAAGAAAATTATTAAAAATAAAAAGTAATATTCTATTGGCTCAGGTAGGAAACGGGATACCATTACCGATATGTGATCTTTGTCCAATAAAATAATCTCATTATTAACCTTTCCCATGTGCATGTGCTTCTTCTTCATCTATTCTTTGCTTCCAACTTAATCAATCATATTTGCAAGAATTCTTTAAGGAAAGTGGAATATTGAGCTTCTTGGGATCCAAAGTGATGGAACATTCAATGTTCTTGTAGTATTTTGGTTTTACCAATTTGCCAAGTACATAAGCTCTAGATCTAATGACAAAGTTTAATTTGAGTGGCACTGGCACTGTTGGCATACCCGTTGAGCTGCTAAGACTAGCACCACTTCCATATAGTGGGATCCTGGTTCCCATCACTGCCACACTCACTAACTTTTGGCTCTTCCTAGATTGATAAAATGTCTTCAGCTGCATCAACAATAACAACCACTTTATGCATTCATTTTTATCTAAAACAATATATGATTAAACTAAAGAGTGATACTATGAATTTGTTTCCCAAAAAAGGCTAAATCTTGCTTGGTTATGAAATATATATAAATTTCTTAAAAAGTATACTAGTTCATTGGGTATAATTTTATAAAAACTTTCAATTCAGTCAGAAGATTATTTATCAATCATAAGTATTCGGCGCCTAATTTTTATTCAACTAGATATGCCTAAATCTTCTAAAACAGATTCTGCAAAACATTATGGTAAATAAAGAGTCAAATAAAAAATTCAATGAATTCAAACAAGATTTATAGGAGGAATTATTGCAGAATTGAAGCAGTTTTTTGAAATATGTGTATATTTCTTATAACAAAATAATAAAAAAAAACAAACATGTTTGATGACATTTTAAGCAAGTTGAGTAATATATCTTACATTTCCAGAAGCGATCACAATTTCTGAATAGGTTAGATCCAAAGGTGTTGAAGTAACATGAACTCCAAAGAACGTGCCAGTGTTGCGGTAAGTGAATTTCACAGTAGAATTCATAGAGATCATATCAGTAGCAACACCAGTAGCATCAGAACCAGCTTGAATTTGAACATGATCGAACTTTATGCTCTACAAAATAAAAAATCTGTTCAATACCCATTTCATAATTCAGCAAAAAGATTCAAACTTGGTAATAAACAAACCTTAACAACGATCTCAGGCTTCATGGGTCTACTAGCACCCCAGAGGATGAGAGAGAAGAAAGAGAAAAGAAGAAAGAAGCCAAGAACAAAGACAAGGAAGTAATAACGACGGGAAAGAGTTCTATGATGATCTTCATTCTGAAGAAGAAGATCTTCTTCATCAATAACATCGATGGGTTTTTGTTGTTGCAGCTTTCGGTTGTTGTTGTTGTTGTTGATTTTGCGTGAACCAGAGAAACGGCTTGAAGAGGATTGACGAGAATGGCGACCAAGAGAAGAGTGAGAGTGTGGTGGGGACCCCATTGGGCTTAGAACAGGGGTAGAGTGAAACGACGCCGTTGTCTTTTCTCCATCGTGTGAGTCCCTTGAAGGGCTTTGGACAAAGTATACAGGACGACGTGGTGATCTTGTGGGAGATGAAGCATCTAGGCTTGTTACCTCTGAGTCTGTCTTTGCATGCATTGTGTTCTCAATGAATGAATGAATCTGATGTTGGTGATTATGTCTCAAATCTAAGATCTGTTTTATTCTGTTACCAATGTTTCCTATAGCAGTGTCTCAAGAATGATGATAGTAAGAATCGTTTTATTTGGCTTGGTGGGGGTGGAATTTGGTGTTAAAAAATACATTTAAATTTTGACTAACACTAATTTTTTGATTTATTTAAGAGAATAATTAAAGGAACGTGAAATGGGAGGAGTGAAAATGGGAATGGTTGTTTGATGTGAGGTGGTTTTGTCACTTGTGCATGTGTGTGGTTAAGTATGAGAATATGGAGTAGGGTAATGGAGATAGATGAAGTATAAAATAATGCAAAATGAAAAAATTAAAATATAATTCAATTTTTTATCTTTAAAACAAAATATAATAACCTCATTCGTCTAGGATCTTCTTCAGATGAAAGAAAGGTGAAGAATTAATGGCACGACAGCTACATTACAGTTGTCACAGAACACAACACGAATCTACTTAGCAGTTGAGGAAGTCACAAGCACGTGCAAACTCGTACGCGACATCACATTGTTTTTTTCCTATTTTTGCTCTTATTCTAATTGTGAGCCAATAATATAACTTATTATATAAAAAATACATTTTAATTTTTAAAAATTATTTATGTTTTTAATCAATAATTAAATAGGTTAAAGTAACTACAATCAAAACAAATCTATAAACACGAAAGTTGATACATTTTTAACTATTCATAAATCATAATCATATTTTTCCATATTAATTCACAATTATGTGACTATATTATACACTCTGGTTAGGAACAATAATGTGAATATGAAAATAAGTATGTCGGTAACCCATGATTTGTAATTTTATATATGATGCACAGGAAGTAACAGAGTTTAAGAGTATTGTCCCTCAGGAACCCTGAGTCAAATGATTTTAACCTTATTGAACATGTGCTTTGCCACATTGTCAAGAATGAAAGAACATGTGCTTTTTGGTTTTTATGACTGCTTTGGTGACATAAACTCCTTCAAGGATCAGCTTCAATCTCATCCTTTGTTGCTGCCAACTTTGTAAATTAATTCAAGGTATCTCTAATACGTACATTTTTCTCTTAAAACATTGAAAATAAATGTCTCTCTTTAGCTTATTGAAAAATAAGACAATGTGTTCAAAATGGATGCTTTATTATTCGAGAAAAAAAGGGAAGGCCTTTTTTTAAATCAAACTTGGAAACAATATTTCATTTAGTGTTGTAAACATGAATTCTACATCTCTCATTTTTCAGTAAGTTTTGATTGTGATTGTGGAAAAGCAAAAGAGACATCATATGATGAACTAAATGACACTCCTTGTTTGGTTCTATCTTGGATCTCAAAAGCTGCTACAGGGAAGGTATTTGTATTTGTGGTTCAGTGTATTTGGTTAACTTGTTTTTTCTTTCAAATGGAAGATAGTTCAGTTCTCCATTTTAAGGGGTAGAGGAAAACCAAACAGAAATTTAGGACATGGGTACTTTATAAATTCCTAAGTAGATATGGTAGTTGTTTATGGAACATGTCTAAGTTAGTCAAGATTGCTTGTTATTGCAATGTTGCAGAAGTTGTGTCTAAAGCTCTTTAGTTACACTAAACACATACTAATAATTTGTTGCTGATCTGATAACTTTATACTTTATTCTGTACACTACTTGTTGAAAAACAATGGATAATGATGAACAAAAAATACAATAAAATACAGCAACCATAGTTTGATCTTAATACACACCATGAACAACTTCCTATACTCAAAGCTCACAGCATTATGCATCAAAAACCATACCTACTGATGCAATAGCTCAAGGGCTTTCAGCAATGTAGGCTTAAACCTATTAACATCAAGCCTTACATTTTGTTTGTCGAAATAAACAGTCTTAAATGTTTCCCAACCTATCTTCCCAATTGATGGGGGGTTCTTCAAAATTATATGGTCTAGAGGGTATTGCTGTATAAGAGTGCTTTCTTCCAACCTTATTTTGTATTCCAAGTACTTTAGGTTCATATCCCTTGAGGGCTCAGCAAAGTCATTTTTAGCAAGCCACTCCACACTACCATAAGGCAAAACTTGGATGAAAACTGCATTTTCAGGAAGGAAAAGTATGTTAGTGAGACCAGCACCATGAACTCCCATTAGGACATCACACGAATTCACAGCATCGGCAAAGCTAGACATGCTCCCTCCTGCTTCCGTAATAATGACAATGAAACCCAATCTTTTAGCCATTTTTGCTATTTGAGCTATATTAGTGAAGGATCTTGATCTTTGTCTTGAAATAATCAGGAGCCTAGGCTTCTTAGGTTGATCATCTCTGATTTTGATTGCTTGAACTCTCTTTAATGAATATGAACTTCTCAAAAAATCCCTGAAGTCTTTCATGGAATATGAATACTTTTGAGGATCAATGCTCAGCTCTTTGTGGTACCTCTTGAGACCAACACTCACACTTGGAAAGCAATGAACTTCATTATCTCTATCAATGTCCATAATGCCATAGTTGGAGAGCTTGTTAAGAACTGGTTGGTACTTTAAAATCCACCAAGGTCTCTTATCAGTTATGATAAATTGTACTTCTCCATTAAAATGTCTAGAAGTTAAAAAAAGTGGAATAAGAACATCAGTGAAGTCATGGAAGTGGTTGCCAATGTAGCCTCCAGTGGAAAACAGCACAGTTGGAATGCTGTGATTTTTGGTGCACTGAGGGACTTTCTGGCTAACTTTTACTTGCTTCACTGACCACTCTCTTACTTGTACCATTGCATGTGTATCACCCTTCCTAGCATAAGGCCTTATTCTCCATGAAATGTTTTCTGCCAAGAGGGTTGTTTCAGGTGACACAATGTAAACAGATGAGGATTTTCCATGGATTCGGATATCTCCTCGAGATTGGCAAAAATCTGTTCTTTCTTCTGAAGTGCACAGTGGATCCACTTTCTTTGTTTCTATTTCTTCAACTGCAAAATAAAGAATGGTTGCTTACATATACTAGTTATTTAAGAATACTACGGATGATTTGTTTATATATGACTAATCAACAAGTGTAGTTATTTTAGATATATTTCAAGTTCCATCCTTATTGAGACAAGTAAATTTTACCTTCAGCTTTTTGTGGAGAGCTTCTGGTGCCATTGGTGAGAATATTCTTTGTTACATTTTCTTCATCTGTAAAATGAAGGATCTGTCAAAATCATTATCTTCCACACTCCATGTAATTACCATCCTAAAGTTAATTGCCTTTCTTTTATGGTTAAACACTTAAACCACAACTAAGATCAATGTTTTGTCAATGAACATGATTTATGATAGAGCATTATGGTGTCGTTCAATCCATTTAGCCGATCTCACCTAGCGAGACCAAGGCTTGGTGGTTGTTGTTGTTAGTTAAACCACAAGTAGAGATAATTTCAACTAGCTCTTATTGTTTCAAACTTCTTGTTACCTTTGGCTATTTGTTGAGAGCTTCTGGTGTCATTGAAAAGAATCTCCGGTAAAATGTTTTCAGCTGTCAAATGAAGGATACTCACAAAGTTAAAGGTCTATCTCAAATTCATTTAATCTTCTTAAGATTTAGCAAATCATACCATCATTCATATGTAGAGAACTTTTGGTGTCTTCAATAATTTTGGCTAGAAGGTTTTCAACTGCAGACCAAAGAATCATCACATACATACAGGTGTGAGACTCATTTGCTTCAATACAAGTATATTTAGCTTTAATATTTGAGCTTAGTTTTGAACTAGCTCAACCTGTGTTAACTCTGTTAATAAGACTCCATTATATCTTACCTTTGCCTGTATGTGGAGAATTGCTGGTGTCATTAACCATAAACATTTTGGTATCAACAACAAGTGAGAGCTTTAGGCTCACTGTGGAGGACAAAAATGAAAGTTAGAGATATACTTTATGGCTGATTTGTGTAATCTGCATTTCATGCCAAAACATTGTGGAGTGAAAACATGCATGCATGCTTGTCTTAGTCTTGGATTATGAAAATAGGTAGTTAATGCAAAGTGGGTATAGAGCAAGAATTAAGCACTCACAAACATGAATAGGACCCAAGTAAGGCTTAATCACAGTGCAAAGACTCAAAACTATGAGCAAGCAGAACAAAAATGCTCCATATCTCAATCTTTTCTGCTCACGACGACTAAAGCTTTTGGCGAATATTGTATCGTACATTTTCAATCACTCAAGAACTCAACTCTATGTCAGGATCACAATGTCATCTGAGAAATAGAATCAGCTTTTGATCAGAAGCTGATTAGTGGAAGACCATGAAAATCTTTAAGGACTTGAGTGAAGTAAAGATTTTGAGACACTTGTATATGACAAATATAGGAAGGTTGAGGTGCATTTTTCTATTCCATGTTGCACCCCACGTAGTAGTTAGCTCTTGAATCAGAAGGATTTTCCAAAACTAGTATAATAATATAAGGAGTGAAAAGGACTTTATGGTTGACTGCTAAGACAAAAAATCATTTTCAATGATTGATATTTGGTGAGGTTATACTTATATACATACACATGAAACATGTATAGCAGGTTTTGGAACCTTTCTTTGAAAAGTACTCACCAACTAAATCTTGATATCAATTATTGCAGTTCTTGTTATCACTAGATTACTATACTCAGTGATACATGGCTCAAGTGAACATTTTACTTGCAGAATCAACTTGTGTATGTAAAGAGAAACTTAGTTAACTTAGCAAACAAATAACCTGCAGGAACAAAAAATCAACTATAATATCTAAAAGGCATTGCATTCTTAAATGATTAAAGTGTAAAATGGGACAACCTCTCAGTGTTTAATGATTGGATTTCTCTGTTTACTTTGTTATGTTACATTATGTAGCTTGGAAAATGTAGCTAGATAAAAGAACATGCTCAGTGTTAGCACCATAGATGGCAATTTCATGTTACAATAACAAATGCTTGGAATGAAACTTATCGAACACACACTCCTTCACATGTGTGAAGAGGAACAAACGTAAATTGGAAAACAACTAAGGATAATGTTTCATGAACATGAAAAGTACAACATTTGATGTTTCTTTGATTTTTTGAGTATGTGTGAAAAACATATTTTTTGAGTATATATCATTGTTCCTCCTAACAAACATGGTTAGAATGAACATTTAACCTTCGATCTAGACACTATTAAATCAACATCTCGTTAGTGTATAAAGTGTAAATTGTTTGTATTTAGTTAAAATCAAAATAATGAATTTTGCAAAAGTTACCCATGTTTTAGGAGGTACTCAAAGTAGCTTCTAATTAAAATCATAACTTTACTAATTTTAATTTTAAGACTCATTATTAAAAAATCTTATTCAGATATACACCAATATGTTATAAGTGATTTTGATGAAGTATAACCCTTAACAAATATATTGAAAAAGTTAGTATATTCAAACTACATTATTTACAAAATAACAAAACACAATAAAGAATAACCCGAAATAGCAATGAGATTGTCGGCAGTAAGGTGAATTTGAGTCATATAATCAGACAAATTGTTTGGTATTAGAGAATAAGACATATTAATAATCTGAATATTTTTCTAGTTTTTGGTGGGGAGCATGATGATGTAGGAATAGTTAGGACTTGGGAGGCATAATTGATATTATATGTTCATTCTCTTCTTCAATAATACGTGCGTACCTTAAATTTATTAATGTGATTTTAGACGTTAGGTAGTTTTTAAATTTATAGAATTGTTAATAGTTTGATTATCTAGAATTGCTCATTACCTAGCAAGTTGAGACATTTAACACAGTGTTGGTGATAACCAAATCATAAATTAGCTTTTAATATTATTAATGTAGTAATGATAAAGTTATTTGTCTTGTAATTTAAAATCAATGAGTTCTATATGTGTATTATCATTATACTTTATTAGTTTATTAGGTAAGAGTATTCACTGAATCAATATTCTTACACTAATGTGCTTGAATGCATGTACAAATTCAAATTATCTAGTAAAAAGGTAAGAGAATAATCTAAACACACATCCAACAAATCCTTGACTTTATAATTTTGTACATGCCAATCTTGAACTATTGAAGTCAACGTTAGGTACCAAATTGTGGGTCCGGGATAAGATAATATGTGTAACTAGTAACTATATCAGATTTTGCCTTATTTGCATATACTGTTTTTGTTAGCTGTCATACAATCTACTTGCAATTTTTGACTATGATGAAATAATATTGAATAACTCATTATTAATTAATGGAAATAAGTCATTATTAATCTATCTAATCACTGTCCCGAACCAATATGAATGTTATGTTTTGTTTTTAAAAGGTTTCTTTTTTATTCACGTGATAATATGTCATTCGTGCGGGATAGGGAATGAGACACCTTCAACCAGGTGATCCCCTCCCTCCAATATGTGAAGTGTAAGCTAGGCCAGAAATGGAAATTACAGATCAAAATGCATCTTTTCAGTCTCCATTGATTCAATACTCTGGGCAAGATGGACCCAATGTTTATATAGAGCAGAATAAGAAATTTGTAGTAGCAAGAACAGAAATTGTTGAAGAAGTTAAGAAGCAGTTATGGCTAGCAAGACCTTTGATATTTGTAATACTGCTAAGTTTTTGCTTACAAGTTATATCTGT